CTCAGAAATCATTTACGAGACATAATTTTAAGGAAATATTATTAAGACGGCTAATATTTAGCCAACTATGTCAACTATTAAAACAGACGGGAAGTCTCAAATAAATAAAAATTTCCGGGTATTAACGAGTTGTTAATGACGTATTTAACGCACCTACGGGTATTTAATTCGCAATTTTGGACAAACTTTAATTTTATTTGTCCTAAATCATGCGTAAAGTAATATAAGTTAAATTATCTTTTAACAAGATAACTTAAAATCCAATTCAGAAATAAAGCTGTCATGTTGTAAACTTCTTTAAGTCGATATCAAAACAACTATTTATAAATTATCCATCAAATTGCAGATTGACAACTTCGCATAAAGTTTACATCATCTGCGCATCAACTCCTCACCATCAAATCTCCATTATGCCTCATGACTTGACAAATCTGCACCGAGATAACTCGGTCAATCAAGTCTGTGTCATGACAACTCCGTACAAAGTCTGTATCAAGTCTGCATCAATACATCTTCTAAGAGTGTAGCAAAACTCCTGTTATCCCAGGCTTGCTGTAGATAATGACAAAATTCCTGTAAGGTGTTTATTACACATGCTCGATCGGGATTAAATGAGCCAGAGAGCGGGCAGGCCAGGGGAGAATTTCTACTCCTTCTTCGTATAGGAAGTTCTGACAAATATGGGTGATATGAGAAGCCTGGGTATTACAATGGGCTGTAAATCATCGCGGATGTATCGATGTGCATTTAAACTGCCAGGGATATCAACTAGAGGGGACTTTACCCCAATGATATGGCACCGCATACCATAATACCAAGTATTTGGCCGCAGTGACCTCGAAGGGCAAAATCTAAACTGCGCCGCCGCTCGCTACGGAATCTTCTTACCATTACCTGTCGATCATTTTTCCACAAACAGAACCGGAATTCGTCACTAAACATTATTTGATCCCATTCATCGATCCAAAGTAATCTTTCTTGGCACCATAGAAGTCTGACTCTTTTGTGAAGTTGCATCAAAGGAAGATGTCGAAAAGGTCGGTATGAGTGGAGATTAAAAGAAAACTCCGCGACATTATCTGCCTCAGATCTCTCATCCAAGCAACACCAATTGCAGCCGAAGAAGTAAATCTGTCTCTAAGACTCATTTGTCTAAGGCGACGATCTTCGACCAATTTCACGAAATGAAATACCTGCCTAGTACGGACCAATAATTCACCCTCCTTCAATGTAAGATAATTGATTTAACCCCGATCTTCTACCAATTCTAGGCATTGTTAACAACATTCACTCACCAAATGGCATTTACTTTGTGATGGAGTTTTTTACTTTCATGTACCAGATTGTCTGTTTCACAGCAAAAAACTATATGTATAAAAGCTTGTTATCCTTTGTGTATCGATATGATGTTGTTATCATCTTTTACATGCATCCAGTTGTTTTGTTAAGATTCCAGCTTGATGACTCATCTTTTTCGAGGTGTTGCAATTTTTTTGGCACTTAGTGTACTTCTTTAGTGGAAAGGTTATAGATGATAAGCTTTTTTATTCTTATGTAACTGATTTCATAGCAGATTTAGTTTAGTAGTTGTCCAATATGCATTACCAAGTCTGATTGTTCGTCTGATAGAACCTGTATCAATCATGTTCCACGGAAAATCTTTGAGATTTAAGGGTTGAGTGTACTGTGGGACGATATGGTTTGTGATGATTAAACGGTCGATCAAATACTCAACCTTTGGTCCAAAACGTTCTTTCGATAAGCTTTGCACGCGGCAAACTTATTCTCAACTATGTTTAAACTCCTAGAGATTTAGATTGATTTGTATCGTAATAAATAAATCACCCGTGTGACAAAAAGTTGTTTGAAGCTGGATTAAATAAATGGACAAACAACTTCTTCTTTTCCTTCCACTTGTTTTAGACCTGTTGAGTTCTGATTTCGTAGCTAAAGTGTGTCTTGTGATGTGGACCTTCAGGTGTCTAATAGTCTGATACTACAGAGTTGGCCATCTAACGTTTGGAATTTGAAATACCGCTTATGTTCATTTTGAAAGATAGAACGACATTAGCGAATTGACAAAAAATTAATTTTATGTTTTGACATTTGCAAAATGTGACGTTTTACGCTTAAACAAAAATAGGAAACATTGAAAACTTGCTTCCAAAGTGGTCAATCCAAACTGTAAAAAATTGTAAGAGACAACCCTGTATAAAGTCTGTATTACAAGAATGCACCAAAAGATTTACGCGAGCGCCTTTGTTTAAAGCCTACATCTTCTCTTCATAAGTTTTCCCATGTTTGTATCAAATCACGTCTGTACAGAATCAAGTCTTCATCAAGACTCGTTCAACATTACATAAAATCTTTATATAGTAGAAACCACGAAAGCTGGCAGTGACAGATCGCTTAAAAATAGTATGAATCAAGATATGGACGTACGACTTAGATTATTTCACCACATACATTTAAATGTAGGTTATGTTAGTAATGGAGGTTATATGTCAAACATTGTCAAAGATATTATTTAAATGATTTTCCTTTCAAAGAAAACATAGATTCATGACAACGCTCACAACACGTTTCGATTTGAGGTTATAATTATATAGTTACATCCATTAGAAGAACAGACGTACTTTTTCGACGTGGCCATTTGAATTGTACAGCAGACATATTAAACTAATGCTATTTCTTTCTAACACACATTACTCTCTAGCGGTTTGTGAACTACGTATGGCATTTGTAAGAGCGGAAAACGATGATTTACTGCCAGCTCTCGTGGCGTCTACTATACAATCCTTTTAATGTCTTCATCAATGTTATTAATTGTCCCAGCTTTATTAATTGTCGCATAAAGTCTACATCATCATCTACATCGATTTCTCATCAATGAAAGCACCAGATTTGATTCTGATGGACTTCTTTCTTGTGATTTCTTGATCAATGGAATCACTGACATCAATGCGTTTCCGTTTAAGTATATGCTGTGAGATTTGTTTAAGACAGAATTAAAATACAATGAAGTTGCAAAAGCATCATAAATAACTAAATAAAGTTTCAATAATATAGGTGAAAGCTTAATATATATTTTTATATCAAATTAAAGCTAAAACTGGCCTCTAAAATATCAGAAAATTATAAAAAATCATTTCTACTTTATGTTAGGAGCTTGAGGAGTTATTTTATATCAAATTAAAGCTAAAACTGGCCTCTTTAAAATGATGTATCATAAATATTAGTTTAATAAAGAAAAAAATGGAGAAAATTTATTTTAATAAGTAACCTAAAATTGGTTAAAATGAACTAGTTTCTTTAACAAATGTTTTCTCGTAAATTTGATAATTAAAGTCGAAGCTGTTATAGTTTTTCTTAAAATAGATAGTTTTAGCTTTAATATGAGATATATATCATCGATTAATTCCAGCTATTAAGGATTGCAACATTTTTTTAAATTTTTGCTGTTATTAAAACATCAGAAAATTATAAAAAATCATTTCTACGTTATGTTAGGAGCTTAAGGAGTTATTTTTATATCAAATTAAAGCTAAAACTGGCCTCTTTAAAATGATGTATCATAAATATTAGTTTAATAAAGAAAAAATGAAGAAAGTTTATTTTAATAAGTAACCTAAAATTAGTTAAAATGAACTAGTTTCTTTAACAAATGTTTTCTCGTAAATTTGATAATTAACGTCCAAGTTGTTATAGTTTTTCTTAATATAGATACTTTTAGCTTTAATATGATATATATATCATCCATTAATTCCTGCTATTAAGGAAAGCAATTTTTTAAAAAATTTTTGTTGTTATTAAAACATCAGAAAATTATAAAAAATTATATCTGCGTTATGTTAGGAGTTTGAGGAATTATTTTAATATCAAATTAAAGCTAAAACTGGCCTCTTTCAAATGATGTATCATAAATATTAGTTTAATAAAGAAAAAAATTTACAAAATTTATTTTAATAAGGAACCTAAAATTGGTTAAAATGAACTAGTTTCTTTAACAAATATTTTCTCGTAAATTTGATAATTAACGTCCAAGTTGCTATAGTATTTCTTAAAATAGATAGTTTTAGCTTTAATATGATATATATATCATCGATTAATTCCTGCTAATAAGGAATGAAACATATTTTTAAATTTTTGTTGTTATTAAAACATCAGAAAACTATAAAAAATCATTTCTACTTTATGTAAGGAGCTTGAGGAATTATTTTTATATCAAATTAAAGCTAAAGATGTCCTCTTTAAAATGATATATCATAATCGTAAATTTAATAACGAAAAAAAATGAGAAAATTTATTTTAATAAGTAACCTAAAATTGGTTAAAATGAACTAGTTTCTTTAACAAATGTTTTCTCGTAAATTTGATAATTAACGTCCAAGTTGTTATAGTATTTCTTAAAATAAATAGTTTTAGCTTTAATATGATGTATATATCATCGATTAATTCCTGTTAATAAGAATTGCAACATTTTTAAAAAATTTTGCTGTTATTAAAACATCAGAAAATTATAAAAAATCATTTCTACTTTATGTTAGGAGCTTGAGGAGTTATTTTTATATCAAATTAAAGCTAAAAATGTTCTCTTTAAAATGATGTATCATAAATATTAGTTTAATAACGAAGAAAATTGAGAAAACTTATTTTAATAAGTAACCTAAAATTGGTTAAAATGAACTAGTTTCTTTAACAAATGTTATGTCGGAAATTTGATAACTAACGTGCAGGTTGTTATATTTTTTCTTAAAAATAGATGGTTTTAGCTTTAATTTGAGATATATATTACCAATTAATTCCTGCTAATAACAATGTAACATTTTTTTTAAATTTTGGCTGTTATTAAAGCATCAGAAAATTATAACAAATCATTTCTAATTTATGGTAAGAGTTTGAGGACCTATTTTTATATCAAATTATAAATTATACCTATTCACAAACTTTAATCAATAGTAACTTTCAATAACACGAAATAATTAATTAATCTACATTACCTCAGCTGATATGGTACCTAAAAAAAGCCAAACTTCTCTTGGAGTAACATTTTTGAGTCCTGTATGTTTTTCAAAATAATCAAAAAATTCTTTATACTCATCCATAGGCATTTTTTTATAATTTTCCTTGTAAATATCAAGAAACTGCTGTTGTAACACAGAAGAAAACATCTTCAAATAAAAAATAATTAAAAATTATAAAACATTTTAATATAAAAGATAATTACAAAATCGTCCTTGAACGATAAACATTTATACGGTATCGGCTGCCAATTTAAATCATTTTTAATTGTTTGATCGACATTCGGAGGAAATAATCCAGCGAGAACAAGCAGCAAAGACATTTGCGATCTATCCGTATCAGAAGTTTGACAATCAACTTCACAAGGCACGTAAACGTTTCCTAAATAGTCTTGATATCTTTGACGTAATACTTCTCCTAAGTTATACATCGCTTTCTTACCGTTCTAAAAATAAACGTCATTTTTATGGAATCCAAACACAATTAGTAGGATGTATCTTACTTGAGTCAACTGGCCAAAACCGTAAGGATAAAAGTCTTTATTTAAGTGTTCGTCCTTAGGATACATGTGATCTTTAATCGGTGTTCTATGGCCATGTCGAAATATCTGCAAGAAAGCGTGAATTAAGATTAACTTAATTGAAAATGTAACCGCGAAATGTCCTCGTTCGTACCGCATGTAATAACACTAAGGAGTTAGTTTCACTCATTGCAAACGTTTAAAGAGATTAATCTTAACTAATTTAATGTTGCTCTATTATGAAATGTTTTATAACAGAGATAAAATAAATTTAAAAATTTGATAAGATTATAAAATAATAAAAAGAAATCATCAGGGGCATAATAAATATGACAAATAATTTTTTTTTGGGGTCAGATCCTATTGTGTTCTATAAAAGTATCACTTATCTTATTAAAAATTAAAAGTTCTAAAATATTTTAGATCAAAATATATTAAAATTCATTAAAAATAATGTAAAAATATTAATGACATTGTAAAAAAGTGATAAACGATTGAACTTTGAACGTAAACATCGATTTGCACAAAATACAATTCAAGTTAACCGGTAATAAACGTCTACCATTTATGACTCAATGTCAATATTTTTAACGCTTTCGAAGTTTATTCTATTTTACTTGCGTGAAAAATAATTATTTTAATTGAATTTAAAATACCCATTTATGAAATGTCAAAGTTTCATAGTTGTGTTCGCAATTGATGATCACTGGGAAATTTGTTGAGCTAAAATTACGATTAAGAATAAAAGATTGTGGTGTTATAAAAATAGTGTAAAATAAGTGTTCTAAAATAAGATGTTACATTGTGATTGGCACAATGTTTCTTGAAATAAGTAATACATCAAATCACTGCAATAAATCGCGATTGTCTGTATGCTTGTATAAACCTGTATAATTGTTAAAAAATGTGTGATGATTGAAATGAGGTGTTAATATTTTTCAGTTACTTGAAGATTCCATTGAAATTAAAAAGTGTTTAAAGTTAAATTAGATTTATAAATTTATTAGGTTCGAACCTTTCCGAAAGCTGTAATCTCCTTGAGTTTTAAAAGATGTAGAACTCACTTTATAATTATGATATATCAGTTTAAAGAGGACATTTTTAGCTTTAATTTGATATAAAAATAAGTTCTCAAAGTCTTATCATAAATTAGAAATGAGTTGTTATAATTTTCTGAAACTTTAATAACAGCCAAAACTTAAAAAAAAATTACATCGTTATTAGCAGGAATTAATTGGTGATATATATCTCAAATTAAAGCTAAAACTATCTATTTTAAGAAATACTATAACAACTTGGACGTTAATTATCAAATTTACGAGAAAACATTTGTTAAAGAAACTAGTTCATTTTAACTAATTTTAGGTTACTTATTAAAATAAATTTTCTCCATTTTTTTCGTTATTAAACTAATATTTATGATATATCATTTTAAAGAGGACTTTGTTAGCTTTAATTTGATATAAAAATAACTCCTCAAGCTCCTAACATAACGTAGAAATGATTTTTTATAATTTTCTGATGTTTTAATAACAACAAAAATTAAAAAAAAAATTGCTTTCTTTAATAGCAGGAATTAATCGATGATATATATCTCATATTAAAGCTAAAACTATCTATTTTAAGAAATACTATAACAACTTGGACGTTAATTATCAAATTTACGAGAAAACATTTGTTAAAGAAACTAGTTCATTTTAACTAATTTTAGGTTACTTATTAAAATAAATTTTCTCCATTTTTTTCGTTATTAAACTAATATTTATGAT